ATTTTTGGTAAATGTTAGAAGTCTACGGATGGAATTTAAAAAAATAATAGGTCATTTTGACGGGAATTTAATAAGAGCTTTAAAATAATGTTATGTAAAACTTAATTCAAATTCTATTTTTTTTAACTTTTGTAATTATAACAATTCAACAATCCCATTTTTTTAATAGTACGATCTTACTCTATATAAAGAATTTATTACCAAATATTTATTTATTATGTAATAAACAAGGTTTAAAGGATCATCTCAATGAAACTTAAAGACATCCAAATTCTAAAATCTTTTTTACAATGATTACGGGCATCTAAAAATTAATTTTCCACTAAATAGTTTTCAATCTAAGAGCAATAAATTTATGGAATTAATAGACAGCGTTTGTTAGTTTAGCAGAAACGCCACTTTCTCATATTAGGCGCCTATTTCATAATAGGAAGTTTTTCTCTAAAAACAGTTACATCAAAAATGATTTTCAAAAGGAATATACATTTCCTATTAGAGGCAAAAAGTTCACGAAAGTATATCTGCAAAACAGTTTAGATACTATAGTGTTTTGTATCTAGATACAAATACTCTAAATTCGAATGTATTTCAGATATAGATTTAGATTACAAAATGTATTTCTATACGTGTATCCAGATATATGTATTTATGTTCTACTCAATGGTTTCGGTAAAGATACAAAATACACTTTTTTGTCTTCAAATTTTCTTATTAGTGGCTTTCAAAAAAAATGCAATTATTTTTATTATTAAAAAATGATTTTAAATCTAAATTAAGATTGTGCAATTGCAATGAATAAATTATTGTTTATTAGCAATTGGATGTAAATCATCACTAATCCTTTTATTATTGCAAGTTGTGTCAACAAACAAATCTATATTCCAATTTAACACAAACTTATACATTAATATTACTTAAAAATATTCTCTCTGCAGAACGGAAATATCGTCCCATTTTTTAATAATCTTAATTTTATTACCCATGCAAATGGAAAAAATCTACGAGTTAAATTGTTCGTGACAGCTCCAGCTTCGCGGTATAAACAGGTCTAGGTAGTAATTGGGATAAGGCGGACAGTTTTGCCGAGCATATAACTCTATCGCGTGTAGACTGAAAATAATACCGGTTCCAAGGCTCCAGCTCAACCACATAAAGAGGTTGCTGAAAGTTTTGCGAATGAAGAACATGGGGAAACCAATGGTGATGAATAAAATAAATATTACAGGATAGAAGAAGCCGAATGCAAACGCGAGTATGTACTCGTGAACGATGGCGGAGATGAAGAATACAATAGTAGCTGACAACACCCGATTGTATGGCACGATTTCATACATATCCTTATAAATATACGTGTACAGCCAGTCGTGCACTACTACATTCCACGTGCGGAAGAACGTGTAGTAAGTCGTGCTGTTCCACCAGTCCTGTAATACAAACGATATAATGAATCAATCGTTATTTCTTTTTGTACGCTTTATTATGTAGCAGGAATAGCAATACTGTTGCGGTTGAAAAGATCCGGTAAAAAATTTTTCATGCATGAATATATAATAAACATACATAAACATACATAAATATTCATAAACATGTATAATTATATATGAAATATGTCCATACATGTTCATACATACTTTTTCTTTTGTAAAATTACTTTTTAGTGTAATAAAAATAATAATAGTAATGTGAAAACATAAAAAATAGTTATAGGGATAATTTTCACATTGTTTGTTTTAGAAAAAAACAAGTTTGGAAAAATGTAAAAAAATTTAGGAATCCAGATCCGATACGCTACGATATGAAAACTAAAAGTTTCGATGCTGATATCAAAAGGGATTATAAACGATATTTCAAAATATCAATTATATCGGCACGTCCCTAATTGAAGCTATGACAATGTGATATATTTGCGTATTCTACATGTAATTATTGTGAGATAGATTACTGAAAAGGTATATTTACCTTGTAAAACAATCGATCGGCAAACTGCAGCATTTCCGCCCAAGCGTTCATCCATGTATGCAGCAGGAGATAATTTATGGTGACAAGGAAGCAAATGCCGGAAAAACTAGACTTGATGATACTCTTGACGAACCATTTCCAATCCAGATATTGCGTGCCGAATACTTGGTAAACCGGTAACATCAGGCTTCCCAAGATAAAGGCGAGATAGAAAATCGATAGGCCAAATTCAACAAAATTACTAATTACTACTATCCATCTAACTCTTTTTGTCCTAAAAAAGAATCAATATATTGCTCAAACATATATTGCCAAACCAGATTTTTTTCAAAAATTTTCTCAATTTAATGTAGCCAATATGGCAGTATTATTAAATTATCATTTAGTTTCACGATGAAACTTTAAGCTATATCTTCGAATTGAATTATTGAAAATTATGACATATTGTTCGCATATTTCGCGAACAAACTTGGAAATTTTTTTTTCTAAAGCCATATAAATCCTTTATTGTCAAATAACAAGGTAAATTTTATAATTAATAATTAGATAGTTTGTCCCTCTTATTGTACAATTAAATGCTTATGTCTGTTATTTTTTCAAAGAAATTGGGAAATATCTTTACCTGGGATATTCGTCGCGATATACAAGAGTCGGTGCGAAAAGAAAATACAAATATTGCGAGAATCTAGGTTCATTC